TGATTTATTATATATATATATATATATATATATATATATATATATTATTATTATTATTATTATTATTATTATTTTATTGTATAAGCATCAGGAAAAAGAATTTTACATTTGAATTTTTTTCACAAGTGGCAATAAAATAATCTTCTGTCTCTAAACCTCTTTGCATTAATGATTTAATTGTATATAAATTTTGAACATTAAATATAAAAAAATTCACTACCTAAACGAAAGCTTATAGTTGTTTTTGTTTTATAATGTTCTTCAATTTGTAGTTCTCTTTCTATTGCACCTCATTTTTCACAATCACAGCAAGTGCACATCACAGAAACAAGCTATGAAACGCATTTGAAATCAGCAGGGATTTAGTGTATTTTATTATAGAATTCTAAATGCTACGTACGAAAATTTTTTTTAATTGCAATATACTGTAATTCCTTACTAAAACAAGTTTATAATTAAATTAATATCATAAAACGCCCATTGCCTCCCATCAATACTGCCCTCAATTGAGAGTAACTTTCTATACACACAAGCACTTGAATAAGTAATGCAAGCGTCAGACTGTGGAATTTCTTCCATCGGAACGTCAGTACAAAATACGTAGAAAGAGGAAAACAAAAAATATTTATTTTAATATATACTTGTTGAAAAGGAATGACAAAAGAAAATTGCAAGCTATGAAGAAAATTGCATCTCTAAGTAGACTAGGCCTAGGCCTTTCTCTTCTTCACTCTCTAGTCTAGCACAGCCTGCCAGGCCTATTTTTGGATCGTGAAGATGATCGTGATGTGAATTTATTTGCTTTTACATCTTGTGTAGTACTGTCATTTTTGTATTTAGTACAATATTATTGATGCTAGATTACTGTATTTAAGTGTTAGTCACCATAACAATTCATCCACACACCGTAGCTGTACTTGGACAGATCATACCAAAAACACCCTGTACACAACTACTACTAATCTGCTTGCGCATATGTTTTCCCAGCGTGGGTGGACTGATGTGGATCAGATTACGCAACCTGAATTCAGGCACAAATGACAGGGTTCGTACGGGTCATGGAAAACCTGGAAAGTCATGGAAATTTAATATCATGTTTTCCAGGCCTTGAAAGTCAGGGAAAATATGGGACAGTAATTAAAAGTCATGGAATTTGGTAATATTACAGTATGTGATATTCGAATATGATCTCACTAGAAGTGTAAATAAATAAATAAAAATATTTTAACTATTTTCTTTCATTCGTAAAAACTGCCGATTCATTCTGAAAATTACGAGTTCAAATGCAAACACAGAAACAAAGAGTATAGAACTGCGAGAGATCCGACTGCCGTGGTTTCATTGAAACGCAATCCTATTTCAAAAAGTACTCCCAAAGATGGGCGTGTCTCAGAAGACCATTTCGAGCAAATGCTTTCGAATTGAAATTAGAACGCCGCCTAGTTTGGATGTACATTTTTTTAATGTTGCATCGCTTGCATACAAAATCATTGCAGTCGGACCTCTTGCAGTTTATTCTCTTTGATATGGGAATTGGAAGATTCTTGTTTCGAGAGAGGGCGCAGTTGGATTAAAAACTTTTAATTGAACTGCGAAATTTGCATGCGAAGAACGACGACACTCACAGGTGTAAATTGTTATAAGAAGTTTTGTGAATTTTTGTAGCGGAATTGAAAAACGTCGGGAAATTGCCACTTCAATGATGGCTGGTTGCAGCATCCAGATTATCGTGATTGGATATTAAAAATTAGTTCCAATCAGAAGACAGCGAGGTGTGGGCTTTGCTTAGTTAATTTTAGTCTTAGCAACATGGGCGAAGCTGCCGCCAAAAGCCATATGAAAAGTGATAAACACAGAAAGAATCAGAAACAACGCGGTAAGTATTCTGAAGTACTTTATTATTATAGTCTAGTATTGTACTACTGCTGTAAATGTTTAAATTTGTATTTTTAATTATTGTGCATCAAAAGGTCCGACCACAGATCAACCGACGTTTTTTGGACTAATAATAGTACTACTATTACTACTACTAGGCCTACCTAGAGCATACCTACTAAGCCTAGGCTAGCCCTATGATATATAGGCCTAGGCCAAGGCCTAAAATTTTAAACTGCTCACTCTACGGAAGTACCTACTGTATAGCCCTTTTTTTGCGGCACTTAAATATTACTCTATCAGTTGTTTTCTTACCTA